TTCTTCTTCCTCCGTTTCTCCTCTCTCTCTCTCTCTCTCTCTCTCTGTCTCTTTCTCTCTAGTTTTCTACGTATCTCATTTCTTCTACCTTTCGCAGTGTTATTTGCAACATTGCATGCTACATATTGCAACATGCATTTGCATGTTTGCTAATAGCAATACAAACAGCAACATTCATACTTCGTTTGGGTCATAGGGCATTATGTATTAACGCGTCCTAATTATTCTTTGCAGTCGAGCATTGCAAGATCATCGGTTGGATAAGTAAAAAGCATCGTTCTCATTCTGAGTTGGTTGGGTTTACCGGAATGAAGGTTGATAGAATAGAATACGAAGGTATATTTGTTGTTGTATTTCTCCTTTCCCCTCCAAAATTTGGGTTTTTACACTTTTTTTTTTTTTTTACGAAACGAAAATTTTAATACTATAATTTATAGTGATTTTGGTTGAAAAATATTGGAATTTGTAGATTTCAAATTCAGAATTTCGATTAATTTCTTACAGCTTATCATCTTACTGAATTCTAAAATTATTCATTCATGCATTATTGAATGAATAAGAATAAATTTTCTATATGATTTAAAATTAACTTTTTCTTTTTCTCCCTTGTTACTAAAACTTCTAAATCATCACACCATTTATACGTTCATATGTTTTATGATGAAATCTTTGACAAATTTTCAAATTTAAACTTTAATTATTACTCTCTTTCATTCTGTTCATTTCTACATTTACATTCTTCACATATGCACATATTTGTATTATTTAGTTAAATATAAGCAATAAATTTCTCAATCATATTTGCTAAATACTTAATCAAAGTATTTCTCAATCATATTTGCTAAATACTTAATCAAAGTATTGTGTTTTTTTGATATATTTGAATGAATGTAAAGTATTGCTTCCTATCATCATAAAGTATATACTGACAATACCGTAATTAAATTCCTAAAAAGAAAAAAAGAGGAAAATTAAAATTAACTGATATTTGATAAGATATTATGAAGCGGGAATTTTTGGAGCGAAAATTAAATGTTTTCTTTTGCTCTTATCAGTTTGCTTTCTTCATAACTTAATGATAAGTAAAATTATTCAGTTTTTTTTTTTTTTTTTTTTTTTTTACATTGTTTTATGGTGTACAGATATCATATCACAATATCATTTTATAATATGTAAATTATATCACACAAAACGACAGTAGTTATCCGACCATTTATTTATCAATGCTACGTATAGCTTTTATTGGGTATATAACATCCAATACCGTATAATAATCCGGGAATATACCAAAATTTTTCGAACTTTTTTCAGTGGTACAATATCCTGAATCAAATAATTCCACAATTATCGTCATCATCATCATCATCATCCAACAAAATATACCGCTGACGAAAATTATCAATCAAACAAGTGTGGTGTGTGGTAGTTGGCGCCTAAGCGCGTATGCGCAATATACGTGCGCAAGTGCGTCGACTTCCACACATACGTTCATCTAATATTTTCTCCTATTTATTTAACTCTATTATATTGATCGTTAAAACTCCAGAAATTGTTAGCTGTTCAACAAACTTCTGATACTTCTGGTCTGGTTACGCTGAAATATTCTTTGCTACTATCAATCAAATATTAGCAAATGGAAAATTTTCGGTGTACCGAATTCCTCACTGAATCACCATCAACATCTTCTGCACCGGCAAGATTTGGACGAATTACCGCAACAACAATACCGCCAACCGTTTCTGCACCACCAACAACACGAAATATCAATTCTGCATCAACATCAGCACCAACATCACGGCAACATCAACAACAACAATCACAACTTCGTCGTCGTGCTACCAAAAGTGATATAGGCCTTCGGCGATCATCACCAAATGATGTTATGAAATTGCTTCTTGGGCAGGTTTGATTAAAATTATTTACATTTAAAATTTAAAATATTAATTAATAAACAAATGAATAAAATATAGAATGTTATCGATTAAAAAAATGATAATTTAACAGATATCAAATCGTTGCTAATGATAATTTAGCATTACAATCATAATTTTAAAATTATTTCAAACAATTCGATTGTGAATGAAATCATTTATTCTTGTCATTTTTATCTTATCATATTTGATTTATATATATACATACTATAGTTATTGGTTTAATTAAGTATTAAATAAGTAATCATATTCAAATGATAAAATGAATTGTTTTAAACAAATGAAAATTTTACCATTACAATCGGAAACGCTCGTTTACATGAAGTTTATTTTAAAAAAATTAAACAATTTATAAATTATATTTTCTCTTTTCAATTCAATTTTATTATAGATACCAGTGAGCAGGAAAAGATCAACAACGGATCGTTTGAATGTTGCACAATGGCCAAGTGTTCTTCCTCTAGCAGATAAAACTGTTCATTGCGTATGGTTCAAAGATTATTCAATAGTATTGTTGAAATTTTACAAAATTTTTTGATTTAAAAAAAAAAAAGAAATAGTATATGAAA